GCTTTGCTCCTTTTAGGTTAAAAGCTATAACGGATATTACGTCGAATCGTCAATCGTCAATCGAGGTGGTCTCAAATAAAGAAAATTTTCAACTGGAGTCTCGTCGGCTTGACTTCCTTTTGTACTGTCTCTTGTTTTTGTTGTGTTTCTCGTGTGCTTATCTATTTTTCATCTTGTGAGATACCTTCATGTTTGTACTTTGCATATCAATAAATCTTTTGCGAGACAATTTTGCTTTGAGAATTTTATTTGTTTTGAGATTCTAATGTGAAATTCCAATTTTTTTTGAGAATGTTTATTTTGCAGTGTTGTACCCTTCCGGTACTTTTGTACCCTTCCGGTACTCGTCGCTGTAACTTTTCGGTACTCGTCGTTTAGAACTTTGTACCTTTCCGGTACTCTTCATTCAAAACTTTGTACCCTTCCGGTATTAAACTTTTGTACCCTTCCGGTACTTTTCTTTTGAAATTTTGTACCCTTCCGGTATTTTTTCTTTCAAACCTTTGTACCCTTCCGGTACTTTTCATTGAGGCAGCTGCGTTATAATATTTATGAAGCGCTTCTATTCTATTTTTTTTCGTGCAAGGTAGGCACGGCTTAAGGAACATTTGCTCCGGTGGGCCCTTCCAGAGCACTTTACGCTATATTTCCTGTTACCTTGCCGATTTTTGCCGCGCTTGTATACGGCCTTTCTTCGAGTTTGGCCGATGCACCATGTTCGTACTATTCCAGTACGATTTCTTTAGATGAATTACGATCCACAAGTAAAATATTTATTCATAACTTGCACAATGACAAAGACATATGTTTCTATGATTTTGAATTGCCTTACCTAGTGTGATTTGCCATTTGCCAGGTTCCTCGCCTGTCAGGGACGAGGCAGCTTGCCCATCTTACCTGCCCCCCGTTTCCCTCGGCTCCCCTTAAGAGCTATTACTGTTCTCAAAACATAATGTTAAACATTTTCCGTCACTCTGAGAACGCACATCGACATTGTAACAAATCATGAATTAGGGATTCATGACAACACGCGAAGAATGTAAAAACCTTTGCACTAACGCGCAAAGCTCATAATTTCAGTAGAATGCGCTGTGAAGAAAAATGCACTGATTAAAGTCATTTAGAGAATGGATATACTTAGGCCCGTATGCGCATACATCCCCGCTGGGAAGGGGAGGGGATCCGAGAGGGGATGCGTCATATCTCGCTACTCTGAGTATCTTTCTTCTTCCTTTTCTATCCTGCTTATGAAAGTTCTCATACCCTTATCCTGCGCATAATGGATGCCAGGTTACTGGCGTGATTGATTAGATTTTCACTATTTTGTATGATCCCCTGGGGATCCACAGGGGATCCTCAAGAGATCACCTCTCAATTTCAGTGCCATTTATCTCCCTGAAAGCTCAATGAAACCCTGTAGAATTGTACTGTGGATATACTGGATATACTATACTGCGTTGTTAAAAATGATTAAATAGAAATAAGTGAAATCTCAGGATATTGAAATCTTCGGCAATCTTAGCTCGCGAGCTAGAGATCATCGAAAATCCACAATTCTCAGATTCCATTTCTCCTGTCGTAAACATGCTTAGCAATGTCTAGTATACCCTCAGTGCAATTTTGCAGCGTTTTTTATTGACTTTCAGGAAGATAAATTATTTTGGAAATGACAGGTGACCCCTGGGGATCCCGGTATGAAAAGATCCCGGTATCAGGGTATGAAAACTTTCATAAGCAAGATAGAGGAAGAAGAAGAAAAATACACAGAGTAGCGAGATATGACGCATCCCCTTTCAGATCCCCTCCCCTACCAAACGGGGATGTACGTGCATACGTGCCTTAGCTTGCACCTGACCCTTTTTGCAGTGTATGTTCTAGTGAGATGTATGATTAAATGCCTGAAATTTATGCGCCAGTTGCTCCAGTCCCCTGCTCGACATTCAAGAGGTTCAAACTTTTTTTAGATACCTCAGGAGTTTTCGACTATAACACCAAACAGCTTTAGCTAACAAGGGAATGGTCAGAAGTCGAAGTGGCCAATCCATACAATCTGCATACCATTCGATGCAGCATAAATTGCTGATTTCAAATCTGTCTTCTATATCTGCAGCGCGCTTTTGTAGGCGAAGTTATGAGCAGCTTTACTGCGAAAAAGTCGCATACAAAAATTGCGAGATTAGGCACATTATTGCTCTTTCAGCTCACCTCTAGGTATGGGCCACATGAACTGACCCAGTTGCATGTCTTGGTCTAAAACTGAGCCGAGAATGGCTTTGTACGGCCAAGTTTGCTTTTACAAGCACAATTTCTTAGCGAAATAATGGCCTTTAACGGCTTATAATTTCGTCCACAAAAGCGCTCTGCAGATAAGGAAGACAGATATACAAACAGCGTTTTAAGCTGCATCTGATGGTATGTGGCTTGTATGGATTGGCCACTTCGACTTCTGACCATTCCCTTGTAAGGCAACAAGTTTTTGAGCACAAATCTGATTCTTAACTTTAAAGACGTTTCCGCTTGAAACTAGCCGTGCTTTGATTCGTGCTCAAGATTTATAATGACCAGCGATGGTACTTTTCACAGTTGAATGATTCGAACGAAATTAGGTCTGCTGGAGCTTTGCCTTGTATTCGATTAGTATCGGCAACATGATTCGGAGCGTTTTGTGTTTTTTGAAACTGTTGTTTACCTCATTAGGTCGGTTCATATTCGGCGTAGGTGGTGGAGCAAGCTGGATATCATTCAGCGTAAAAGGGGATATCGTTTCTGGGTAGAAAGGGGATGTCGTTTAGGGAAACCCCCGTCGCCCTTCCCCACTCACTTTCTCCATCTTATGTTCACCCTACTATACATGATGCAAATTGTCACTCCTGCCTTATCCATCCCATTTCTGCAAAAACCAAAAATTTCTTGTTTTAACAAGTTCGCAAGTTAAGCGCGCGAGTTCAGACCTGCCCCGACTTAGATGTAGAAGAAGCGCTAAATACCAACATTGCGCTATCGGCCACACCGCTCGATCCGCCCGCAAGGCTAGTATAAAAAATTTAACTCCACCCACCTGAGCGCTCGCACCACTTCGAGCCAACTCTGGCTAGCTCTTTCTTCGAGCCAGCTCCGGCTGGCTCTTCTCCGCCATCGCCATCGTCTTGCGAGAGGTTCATGCCCCTTCTCCCATTTTTGAACCCTTTCTTCTTAATCTTCTCTTGTGTTCGTGTTGTTAAGATCTCGTGTTCAGGATAGTCATTCGTTTTACAGTCCATGTAGCCTCCTATTCTCTCGCAGCATACATCTATGTGACGCTCGTGATTTGTGTTAGTATGTAGTCTTATACTTCACATATAATCGTATTTAATCCGATGCCTTCATACCTTGTGTTTTCATCTATCTAACAGAGATAGCTAACAGTGGCGGTCCGAGCCACCCCTCCCCCTCTCCCCCCGAAAATGGGTCGCGAAATTTTTGCAAGTTACTTATATGGGTTAGAAAAATGTGAGTGACTTGTTTACACTTGTAATAACAGAATATTTCAAATTTTTTCAAAATTTTAAATTAGCCTAAATAAAAAATTGTTCGAGGGTGTAGCTGCCTACACGCCCCCTTTTCTAATATTTTAGGGTCATAAGCTCAGAAAAATCTTGAAAAGCATCCCAAAAATTTTTTCGGAGAGCATGGCTAACGCCATCTTCACATAAAAATTTTTTTGTCGCACCTCTCTCTGGTCCAAAGTCTTGTTACACTGGTTGCTACGGGTATCAAAATGCTATAGCGCTACCGGACAAAGTCGTCCACACACCGAACGCATTAGTTTGCTACATAAACAGAAGACTTGTTTACAGCGAAGAGAAAATGAGATGACACCAAAATTGGTGTGTAGATGGGCATAGGGAGTTAGGGCTAGTACAAAAATTATAAAAAAGTAATTTGAACTGAAGACGTGGCAAGTATTCAGAGTTGGTTGCATTTCAGCCACTTCGACAGCCACCTGAGATGGCTGTGAGAAGAAAAAGTCAGAAGTTTCTCTTCGTTAACATAATTTTTCTCACAAATTCAACATAATCTTGTTCCATCAAAAATCCTACAACTGAGTTCCTGAGTCTCCCCAAATTCTCTCCTCCTCGCCTAGTTACAACCCTCCAAATATTTTGTATGACGGCGGTAAGCCTGTTTCAAGCGCACAATGGTGCGCACAGGACACAGCATGCCGCCAATTCAGAAAATACGAACTTCTTCAGTTCTTTTTCGCCTGTGCAATGTTGTTTTTACGTTTTGTTCCATTATTTTTTGTTATTCGTGTTTGATCCATTCATGATTGCGTCATAGATGGTGTCATATTGTTGTGGCGTAGCCTGAGACTTCGTTTTTAAAAAATGAAAAAGCCACCTCATCGAACCCTGAATGTAAATCTTAATCCTACAGTAATCGAAAGTGCTGGGTAATTCGCTTCATATGTAAATTTAAGTTGAAGCCTCGTCTACTGAATGGTGCTCAAAGCTTAGGAAAAAACTAGTGGAAAGAGAATTATCAACGATTAAAAAGTGTGTACTACTTTTAAGACCCCTGCATTGCCAAAGTTAAAGCGCTGTTGCGCAAATTAGCTTCACAAGCATGAACTTTAAGCAAAGTTCATCCTCTTTAAACCAGCCAGCCTTGAAATTAATTGCTGCGACTGAATTAGCTGACCGGTATGGATGTTTTTCAAAGCATTTTTTTCTGCGCGGTAGCTTGTAATTGCTGACCAAAATCTGTGAATTTAGATTAAGTAAACGGACACGCTACACAAATAGCTGTTCAATAAGGGCCGTGCCTACGCACTTAACGGTCGTGTCTATTTTTATAAATGGACGGTTAACACAAAGACACCAGTTGGGGATGTTGTTTCATTGCTATGCAGCAGTTTCATTTATCACGGTAGTTTGTTTTCGGGTTTAACTCACTGGTAATATGTATTTATTCCAATCAGCTTCTACATGTCAAGATTGAAGGGAAAAAAGACTGCCAAAATGGCACTGCCATCAGAGGATGGAAACGAGAAACCCAGACAGCATTCAAGGAAGTCCTCTACGAAGGGAATTCCTACATTGATTCCTCCACTGATGGCATTCTTCTTGTAAGTTCAATGTGTAATTCGTCGACAAACAGGGCTGCCATGTAGCCCACAGTTTCGACTATAGAATGTCTGTTTTTAGAATTACAGTTGTGAATATGAGCATGTGGCCTGGATTTGCACTTTAAATAAGTGGCCTAGTGCGCTCTGTGATCCAGTCTTTCTCCCGTAAGCTTTGCCAGATCAACTGATTCCTTCCCCATCTTAATTTCATCTAGAAATATTTATCGTTTTAGCGATGGTCTACCTGTAAGCACAATCGCTCGAAATATTTCTGCTCACTATCAACCCTTTCTCAAGGCAGAGGTAAGAAGTAAGCAGCGATTTACTTTAGAGAAAATGATTCTCAGGAAATCATTTTTTAATGCTAAATAAGGTTGTGCCAAAAGTTCTTGCGCCGGATTTTCAAAAAATCATAACTTCCTTGCTACTCCATGGATTCTCTTGATTTAAATTTCATCTGAAAGAGGAAACCTTTCCTTTTACAAGGGTACCTTTGTTGTGAAGCATCGTTAGAAAGTTCCAAAGCTAGCGGCAATTGAATGAAATCAGTCAAGATCGACATTTTTCAAGCTGGGTCACTAAAAATTCTGAAAATATTTTTATTTGGTAGAAAATATTTTGCACATTACAATGGTACCTTTCCCATGATTTAAAACGAAAAAGATCGAGGGTTAGTAGCAAATAAAGAAAATTCCTTTAGATTTGCAATTTTTTAACATGCTCAAAAAAGCCTAAAAACGTCACCGAGAAGGCGAAAAAGCCACGATTATGGGTCTTGTAATGTTTTCTTTTTGAATGGGCGAAAACTGTGTCAAACGAGAGCAATATCGTTTTTTTTTCACTAAAATCAAAAATGCTCTCGATTAGCTCGAAACTTGCTCAGCTAGAAAGAGAAGGTCACAAATCATGTCCATGACATTCCCGTATTTTCTGTGACATTTCCAGGCTTTTTTGAGCATGCAAAAGTTGCAAAACTGAAGAAATTCCCTTTGCTCCTAACTCTCAATCTTTTTCGTTTCTAATCATGGGAAAGGTACCATTGTAATGTGCAAAATATTTTCTACCAAATAAAGTGACCCAGCTTGAAAAATGTCGATCTTGACTGATTTCATTCAATTGCCTCTAGCTTTGGAACTTTCTAACGATGCTTCACAACAAAGGAACCTTTGTAAAGGAAAAGGTTTCCTCTTTCAGATGAAATTAAAATCAAGAAAATCCATGGAGTGGCAAGGAAGTTATGATTTTTTGAAAATCCGGCGCAAGAACTTTTGGGACAACGTAATAAATAGCCTTTCACAAGTACAAGACGCATTTTTTCATTTCTTCAAGCAGGCAGCCGCACCACTGCGCTTTACAGGGTTGCTTATCCACACAGTTATTTTAAGTGAGGAGCACAATTCTTTTAGCAGAGCAGCACAGGGTCGCAAATGTCTCGATATGTTAATCAAATGCTCTTTGTACTCGTCAAATTGACGTACTGAGATACTTACACGGCCAGAAATAAGGGAAACGATGTCACAATTTATTATTTTTTTCAAACGTATTGATAACATCATCTTCACAACTGGATGGGCGAGTGAAGATCATCTACAAAGTGAATCCAAATATACCCTCTTAAAATATTCTATTTGTAATACTATTGCAGTCTCTGAACAGTAGGTACTAATCGTAATCACTTACGCTAAAACTGACTTAACCTCTTCTGAATACGACTAGTGGCTGGCTACGACGGTTAAGGCGGAAATTTTGAAACTAAGTGCTCCATTATTTTGGACAAGCGCATCTGTAACCTCTTGCGTCGCAGATTATTTGTTTTCAATTTCATTCTTGCAATCATATGCTAACACGTGCTGATCTAATCACTCCTATCAGGTAAAGAAAGCTGACTCCACCTTTCTATTTTTTATTATGTGAGTCTCATTGCCAGTTTCATTTACAAAAATGCCTACGTTTTATTCATCATGAGCCTTTCTGTTGCTAATGTTATGCAGTGTTATCTACAGGGAAATGTCTAACTCACATTAGCTTTTTATAAAGGAAGATACATGGTTGGAATCAGTTTCAGAGCTATTTTTGAATATGCTGTTCCCAGCTGCGGTGCATCCTGCAGCGAGCCGCTGGTTAGTTTCTGTGAATCGTGCTCTTTACTGACATTGCGGTATCATCATTCAAGTGCTGATTTGCTGCCTTAAGTTTTCTGTCACAGACGAAAGACTCAGTCCGATGTTTTCAATCCCAGCACTTTTTATGCAGATTTCCGTCTACAGGCAGCCTTCCCATGTTGAGTGGTATGCCAATTTCTCACAAAAAGCTCATCAGGCGGCAATTAGCGTCTGGAGCTGATTCCAACTTCATATGTATTCAACTGTAAGCCTAATCTAAGCTAAAATAGATACCTTTCCTTGTGAGCAGCACAATCAGATCCTCTTGCCATAAAAGACTCTGTAATAGTCAGAGGAGTTTTTCTATGTTAACAGCTAAAACTAAAGGAACCTTGTAATAACGCGTTTTTTATGTTTTCAGAAACCTACTGTCGTTGGATGCTATAGAAAACGCTATTCAGACAACGTCACTGTTTTCTCCTGCGTCTTCGGTAACGGTGGCGGTTACCTTGAGTTCAGAAATTACGATTCAATTCTCTCCATTCTCAACAACGTCAACACTGTTTTCACATCTATTCTGTCTTATGAATAAGACGATTGCAGATGTAAGAGGTTATAGCCTCAGACCCTTAACTCTACAGAACGCTGTTTTCATATGTGAACGTTAGTATAGAATCTTCATTTTATTCAAGTGTTCTGCTAAGTCATATTGCATTATATTAGGTTGTAACATATCTTGCTACACTTTAACCTATGGCGATAAATCATGCAATATTCTCAATAGGGCTCCAGGGTACTATTCGATAGAGCAAAGCAAGCTCTACAAGCTGTCTGCACAGGTCTGCACATTTTCGACTCACCATAAGTTTGCATTTAAAATCTGTCGTGCTGAAGGCTCAAGAGATAGTGGAAAATTCATATTTTCGTTCAAAAAATTCTAGGGGTCCCAACTTATTTACACAAATTGAACACACATCAGACATTCGTGTACGCCATTTCTTATTTGTTTACGGAATTTAACTCTCCTCACTAGGGTGTCTCATGCTAAAGTTAATATTTCTCGAAAATTTGGCATTGTGAAAAGCTGAGAATTCACGGTAGTAGTTCTAAGGGCTTGTGATGTACAATAACATGTGCAGAAACAGCACAGTTTTTTCATATACACATGAAAGTTTGTGTTTGTTTGATTGCAGATTAGGAAAAAATACGCAAACGGTACATGTAAAGTTTGATGTGGCGTGCAATTTGTTTGAGGAAGATGGAGACCCGTTGGCTTTTTTGGACGAAGGCATAAACTTTCTTCGATATTTTGAGTATTCAGTACGCCTCAGATTCAATGTGTAACAAGACTTATGTTACAACCTATCATTTGCATTCAGCATCTTCGCTAATCGCCAATTTATGTGAAAAGTGCACTACTAGTTTAGTTTTTTCTTTACATCAGGGCTCGTCACAGGTGGCTTATAAGCAAGCCGGATATCGTTTCTGGGCAGGGCTCGGCACGAGCTGGCACCAGGGCAATTTCAAAACGGAGTCCCGTTTGATCTTGAAATTTCGTGCGAAGTCCCCTTTGACCTGTGTTGAAGACCCGTCATTATTTTTAAATTATATAAAAGTATGTAGTAGAGTTTTCATGCATGCTGATTTCATGGAACAACTTTTCACAAATGAGCTTTTTAAGTGGTTGAATCACATCTTGAGAAGCAAAAAAACGATCTTTCGACTGCGGAGCAGACCGAGTATTTTTCAGATGGCTATAAAACGCTGAAAAGAAAACATTATGAAATTGTTTCTTCTCTGTATGTAAAGTTTTACAGTGTAGATACATTTTGTGTAAGAAAGTATGAAAACTTATGTGAGCAAAGTGTCGGTGCCAGCTCAGCTGGCACCCAGCTGGCACGGTGCCAGCGAATTCAGCAAAAAGTTCAGCACAGCTTTCTTTCACATAAGTTTTCATAAATTTTTAGGCCATAGTTCGGGTCCCCCAACGCACATGCGCACACGAAATTTGGTGTCCGGTATTCCGGTTTGGCTGAAAACAACGTCTCTGTTCAATGGATAGCATGCCGGTGGCATGCCGGAGGCATTCTTGCGGCTCTTCTCCGCCCCTGACCCCGGAAAAACGACGTACCCTTTGCTTTCCGCCCTCAAAACGATATCCAGCTTGACCCGGTGCCAACTATGCCGAGCCCTGTTTCTGGGACAAAAGGTAAAGGGGGTTTCGTTTCTGTGGCCCAAAAGACACGAAATTTGCAACGTTTTTTCGCGAAAGTCAAGAGGACTTTGTTTTTCTTGCATTTGCAACTAGCCACCTCGTGCCGAGCCCTGCACTGGATGTTTTCTATTACAAATTTCTTTTTGATTTTAGAAGAAACCAGATGCTTTTTAACAGTTTCATAGTTGCTCCATGTGTAGGGCAAAAAGTGCCCTCCCTACACGTCAACATGATTGATGCCGCAAACGCTGAGGTTATTACCAACTAGTTTACGACAAATTTGTAAACAATTCGTTTTTCTTTGATTTCCTTCTCGGCATTTGAGCCATTCAAGGCATAAACTTGTTTCTTTTCCATAAAGTTCTCAGAATATAACTCAGCACTGTTTTCATGACAGCACACTGTGCCGCTCGCATGTCAAAATAAAGAAGTAAAAGATTATTTCAAGAAGTAAATTTGTCAAAATTTTTCCTTTTTATGCGCATCGTGTAGGACTTGTTACGGAAATGTTGTAATACTTTTTTGAAATTCCATATCCGATTGTCACTGAATCTCGGCATCGCGTATAAGTTTGAGCTTGTTTCTTGAGCTTTGAGCCAAGATTGGTAATAACCTGTATTTTGGGCTAACGTTTCGGCGGCGTCGCCTTCTTCAGAGCCTGAAAAGGTAAGAAACATTGCGACTTATCCGCTCAAACACCTTGTCAGCCTACAGAAACAAAACTCAACATTATAATAAGCACTACTACGGTACCAGAGGACAGACCAAGCTAGCGCTCACCTCAACAGCCTCAACGGTAAACAGAGCGAGTACCACCGACTGAGATTATGCCCTCATTAGTAAACTAGCCTCTTTTATACGCATCTGACCTCAACCTCATAGATCAAAACCCACAGAGGTTTTGATATAGAGCCAGTTCGTTGGTCACAGCGATGCATTCGTCTTTGCGGTTCATTTTTGGGTTCTTGGATGTTATCCAGAACGCCTCTAATGTTTTCCGCGCTACCACTTCAGTTTCTCGCGATAGGATCGTGACAGATGTTTCGAAAATTTCATGGCATTGCCTGCGATGAGCGCCTAGTGGCGTGCATGTTTTAGATTTTTGAAGACCATCCAGGTGCTCCTTAATTCTTGCGCACAGCGGCCTGCCTGTTTCTCCTATGTATTGGTCTCCGCAACTTTTTTGAAAGTTCAAAGATTGTCTTTCTTGACGAAATGCGAACGCGCGCCAACTTGGCACATTGTCAACTCGAACTAGCGAAAATACATAATTGTTCACACACATTCGCCAGAAGCTATGGACTGTACGCTTCTCGAATAAACATCGTCCGGTCGCTCGCTCAGCTGGAAGAATGCCAATCCATTGACAAAAATGATCGTAACCGTCTTTCCATTTATATAGTTACCAGTGGCGTACCCAGGATTTCGGCTCGGGGGGGGGGGCGACAAAAAAAATTTTTCGATGAAGGTGCGTGGCGTCAGCCACGCACTCCGAAAAAATTTCTGGTATGCTTCCTGAAATTTTCGGGGGCTCAGGACCCCGAAATTTCAGAAAAAGAAGGCGTGGCGTTAGCCACGCCCCAGAAAAAAATTTTTTATAAGGCTAAATTGAATTTTTAAAAATTTTCAAAAATTATTTTAATTACTTACAGGTATTAAATAAGTCTTTTGCACATTTTTATAACTCATGTAAGTAACTTTCAAAAATTTCGCGACCCCCTCGGTACGCCACTGATAGTTACCGATGGGTAGGGCTCTGCGTCCCGTGAACATGCGTCAAACATAGAATTGTTTGGAAGCTGTTTGATTTAAAGATATAAAAAGGAATTATTCCTCAACCTAATAGCATATTAGCAACCCTTTGATATTTTTTACGCAGTAATAATTTTACAAAATTATTGCACGATATGTCCTTTTGTTTTGATGTTAAAGTTAACATTACTCTTTTCAAAATTAGCAGAAACAAGTCTTTTTTTAAACTGCTTCTGAAAAACAAACATTATGGCTAATTTTGACCTAATAAACTGACAAAATGAATTGCTAACTAGCGATGCACGCATCAACTTGACCTATACATCTACCAGATAACTCAGAAGTCTGCTCTTACTACAGTAAAATTATGCTCACATCAGATTTTTCTTCAATGACCTTCAGACAAGTAATCCTCAGTGCGAAGCCTGACAAACGTTTAAAGTCTTTCAATAGTGGCATAAAATCCATTTGGCTAAGACCCTCTCTCCCTGTTGCTCACACATAAGCTATTATATTTATGTATTATATTTATGTACATCGAACAATATATGCAAAGGCTTTGTTTCTCAAATGAAATTTTGGAACAGGAAGACCAGCAAGCTCCGGCCAAGTACTCCTGTGGCCGTTTTCATCATCGAACCCTGGGAGTTAAACTACCCTAAAGTGTTAGTTTGACCCTGGAAGCGATTAACCCGTATTCATGAACCACAGGGTAGGCTCAACCCTGAGGGTTAAATCTACTCTTGCAAATAAACCTTCCCCGAAAGCGATTAACCCGTATTCATCAACGAATCTTGAGGGTTAAACTCCCAGGAGGGTAAAACTTACGTGATTCATCAGAGTTAACTTAACCCTAGCTTAGAGCAAGGTTAACTCTACCCTAACACTCCATAAAACATTTACTCGCATCTAATAGTTTTATGGAAAACAGTAACATGCTATCTTCCGCGAAGTTACTATGTAAAAACAAACAAAGTCGTTCAAATGAAACCAGTTTATCTTCATCGTAACCAAAGATATCGTATAAATGAACTCACTCAGTCTCCTGTCATTATGATATTTTCTCTTGATTGCGCAGGACTATCGACCCAATCGGGTTCTAGAAAGAAAGCAACAGTTTCTTGGTTGGCTTCGGTTGCTGTACGCACCTATGCTTCTTTTCCAGTTTGGTAACCGACATTTTGGCCTGCTTTTCTGATCCATCGGAGCGTTGGTTTGTACAAATTTTCATATTTCGGCATAATCTTCCCAAAATTAAGTATATGATTCATGTCCGTAAGTTTACAGGCAAACCGCCATCACTGTAATCAACGACGATCATGGTCACTTTGTTGTCCGTATTCGATTTGACTTTCTAATCCAAACATTTTCTAGTATCCAGTTAAACTGAACACCACTGATTATGCGGAAACTCTTGATAGTTCGATCTTGACAGCAAAATTTACAATCTCAAATTCTAATCCTTTTCTACAATACTTTCCCGTGCAAAACTGGACGAAGGCCTCAGAACCCTGTTTTTGAGGTAATCGCAGCTTTTTCTCCAAATTCCAGAACTAGTTCAACAGCCACTAGCAGTACCATGTTTACCATGTTCAAATAAATGCTTTACGGAGATTTTTCAGAAC